TAGGTGAGTGGGAAGGAGACCCCACCATCAGGGACCCCAAGCCCTCTCTCCCCTTTGCTTTTTTTTTGTCCCCCTGTTGAGGAGAGTTGGGATCACCAGTCCTTAGCCAATCTCAAACTGTGATCTTGAGATCCGGAAGTAGGGGGCTGCTGATGGAGGTTCCTGAAGAGTACCCCAGGGTCTGGTCAAGCACACAACAGCTTCCTTCCTGCCCCATGGGTCCCTGTGGGGTCTCCGTCCCACTACACCATCCTGTAGACCCCTGGCTCCTTCAGCACCCCTCACCCACACTGCTCATTCACAGGCTGTTGACCCAGGGCTGTCCCCGGGAAGCCAGGTGTGACAGGGGTGTGGTCTGCAGTGTTTGTGACCCCACCAGAGGAGACTCTCAGTAGGGAAGGGGTTGGTAAGAATAGAATTTAACACCTGCTGGCAGCTTGGGACCCTCTCTATTTCTTAGAGGAATCCCAGGCTGTGTTGGGATTAACTGGGGTGAGGAAGCCCAGATTGGGCTAGGTCTCCAAACTCCCTGAGGATTCTTGCTGTTGAATAGGGAAGCTGGGGGTCTTTTCAGGGGTGTTTTTTCTGGAGATGACTATGGGAGGCAGTGCAGTGAGGGGTCTCTGGAGTTCGGTTCCTCCATGCAGCCCCTGCCCCATGGAGGTGGCAGAGTAGGGAGAGAAGTGAGGGCGGGCAGTCCTATGCTAGCCTGCGCAGAGATGTGTGTGCACCTGCCCTCTTGTTCCGTTCCTTTCCGCTACCCCAAGATTGCTCTGTCAACCCATCAGCAAATCAGTTCCAGAAGTGAATTTGGGTCGTTTCCTTCTTTTTGATCCTCTTCCCTCTCACTCTATTTTTTAAAAATCCATGAGTCAATTTGTTCCATTTAGAGGCATAGTATCCTATCTGCTCTGAGTGGTGGTTTCTGCCTCAGTTTCTCCCTCGAGTCTCCATCATTCCTTAGCGATTCTGGGCTCTTGGCTTGGGGGTGGGGGAAGAATGAGATTTCTGTTTTCACAGCCATCTTGTATTTTTATTCTTTCTCTCTATATATGTATATATTTCTAGGAACTCTGGTAGTGCTGTAGTTAGGAGTCAGACTGCTAACCTCAAGGTCAGCAGTTGGCACCTCCCGCGGTTCAAGCTCACCAGCTGCTCCTTGGAAACTCTATCCAGGGTCACTGTGGATCGGAACCAACTTGATGACACTTAACAACATATATATGTATGTATGTGTATGCATGTATGTATATATACACATACACTGCTCCAAGGAGCAGCTGGTGAGCTTGAACCACTGACCTTGCAGTTCAAATGATTTTGCAGTCTGATGCATTATTAGCCCACAGCGCCACACCAAGACGCGCGCGTGCGTCACACACACACACACACACACGGAGCTCTGGTAGCATAGTGGTTACGAGTCGGGTTGCTAACCTCAAGGTCATCAGTTCGAACCTACCACACGTACCGCGGGAGAAAGATGAGGCTTTCCGCTCCCGTAAAGCTGTACAGCCTCGGAAACTCTATGCAGGGTCGCTATGAGTTGGAACCGACTCCACGGCACACAACAGTAACATATTTGCTTTTTTCTGATCAGTTATAAAATATACTTTTCCTCTGGAGCGGCAATTTAAACAATATTTGAAGATGGCCGAATCTATCGACCCGGCGCCGTGACGAATTAGAAAAGGTAATTCGGACGCATCGACCGCCCCGCCCCCACCACGGAGCCCGCCGCCCCTCCCCCAGCCCTTCTCCCAGAATTACTGTTCAAGACTGAAACTCCAAAGGGCTTCCAGGAGGAGGCGGCCTGGAGGGTCTTGGAGGGCCCCGAGGCGTGATGGGGAGGAGAGGCGGTCCGGGTCTCCTGGCGGTGGGGTGGGGGCGGTATAGGTAGAGCCAAGGCCGCACTAGGCGGAGCCCAAATCTCAAAGGTCAGTCCAGAACCCTAGTCTCCTCTCTGCCACACTTTACAGATGGGTAAACTGAGGCGCGCAAACGGGGGAAGGGCGAGACTAGGGTCCCTCGAGTTTACTTTGTCCAGTTTTCCCTACTCCTTCGTACTTCAAACAAAGAAACCACCAGTTTCTTGTCCCTTCTTCGGGATTGAGGAGGAGGACCCGGTTCCTGAAGGGCTGGGGATCTGGGGACAAGGAGACCCCCCAGATACGGAAGTCGTAGGGCCTCCACCCCGCCTCCGTCTCTAGTCTCGGCTCCCCTCTTCCTGGCGCGCGTTCTTTTCCGTCTGTTTCAGTTTCTCTTTCTCTGTGTCTCTCCATTTCTATCTTAATTTACTGTCTCTGATTTTGTCTCTCTCTCTCTTGGTTCCTTCCTTCCAGTCCCCCATCCCCACCTCCACTCCTCCTCCCCGCGTCTCTTTCTCGTAGACTTTTTCGCCAGAGGCGGGACATTCCCAGCGACGGGACAGAGCTCGCCCGGAGCAAGTTCGGACAGCAGCAACACGCGGGCCGGGTCTGGTACCGAGTGGTCGGGAACGGAGGCCGCGGGGAAGGTCTGGTGGCTGCTGTCAGCCGGGATGGGGACGAGGGAGTCCTCCCTTGCGGAATCTGAATTGTGCGGAGGAGAGGTTTCTCTTGATCCGCGTGAGCTCTTCGTCTGGGCCTCTGGAGAGGTTTGCGTTGTCACCATGCTGGGCGCGGTGTGGGAGTGGGGACGCGCCCCGCCGCCTCCCGGTAAACGCGGCGATTTGCCGCCACTTAACCGCTTTTCATTTGCGCAGCGACCGGAACGAAAGGCCGCGGCCGGCGTGTAATTACCCGCGGCCCTCTGTCCGCCACCTCCGACCGCGGAGGCTGAGTCGGGCGGTACAGACTATGCCCGAGCGCGCCCCAAACTGCGGCAGGTGCGCAAACCCGGCCTAGCCCAGGCTCATTGTGACCCAGGCTCCTGAGCCAGCGTGCGTCTAATCCAGTTCTCCCCACAAGGCGCGGAACACCCATTTCCCAAAAGGGGAGCCAAGGTTCCGAAAAGGGAAACTACAGTCTACAGTCAGGGAGTGAGAAGACCGAGATGCATCTGGCTGGGCGATGCGCGGGCCACAGAGAGAACATAAACCCGGGGGCGCGGGAATGCCAGGGGCCAGGCGGGTGTCCACGCAGAGCCTGGGTTCGTTCCGCAGCAAACACACCCATGGGGATTCTCAGCTGCGGTGTGGTGTTCTGTACGACTGAAATACTGCGAGTGGGTCGTGTTAGTTACATGAGGTGGCCGTGATTAAGGCGGAGAACGCTACTTGTTATTTGGGGGTACAGACATGTGCATACAATGCCCCCTAAATGGAAGTGCAGGGGAAGGGGGGATGATGGCTGGTGTGGCGGTACTTCAAGAAGACACGTGTGGATGCTGACCACGCTGTGCGTGTAACCCGAGTATCAGGCTCTGTTTTTGTGACATTTGATGTCACCACATTGCAAATTGAAAGCGGTGGCTGTAAGTTCACAGGAACTAAGCACCAAGTACCATACCCACGCGTGGTGGAAAGCCTCTCACCCGAACCGTCCCAGTTCATGCGCCCATTTCTAAGATGTCACATGACCTCTCTGTGAGACACCATCATCACTTGCTACACGCGACAAAGAATCTACCCCTGATGCCCTACGTGGAGAATCGAAGAAACCGTTCAGCGGCGTCAGTTACCTTGCTCTGCAGGAGAGGGAAACTGAGGCCAGAGGAATGGTCAGCGTTCCCCCAAGCCGTTCAGTCAACCTGACACCCGGAAGGGGGTGATTCCTCCGCGGAGAAACCCCTCCTTATCTCACCCCCACCCCCGCCCGCCGCCGAAGCCCCTTCTTCCATGTCCCTTGTCTGGTCCAGCGGGCTGAGACCCCCAGTCAACCCCCTCCCCATCTCTCTAAGAGAGGGGTCCCTCGGCAGAGCCCCGCCCCGCTTGCCCCTTTGCGCTGCCGCGAAGCGATCGATCGATTGGGAGCCTGCAGCTATTGTCCCCGCAGCCAGCCGGGGAGCGCAGCCCACTCCCCAAGCGCGGGGCCAGCGAAAGACCCCCACCTTGGCAAGATGGCTGGGGAGGGGAGCCTCTCCTGCACCCACCCCCACATACCCAGGAGATGAGAGGTCTGACCAGTCGCCTCTTTGGGGGCAGGTGTGGACCCAGCTGTTGTCAGCTGGGAAGGAGGAAGGATCAGGGTCCCTACGGGGCCGGCGACAGAGTGTGTGAGCGTTTGAGATAGAAGCACGGAGAGACAGCGACAGAAAGACGGCGACAGAATGAGGAGATAAACAGGGAGGAGGGCGCAAACGAAAAATAAATCGACAGCAGTGTTTGACCGGGTAGAAAGAGGAGAGAGGGAGAGACGAGAAACAGAGAAAACGAAAAGGCCTGCCTGCCAGCCGCGCGCCCCCGAGAGAGCTCCGAGCCCACGCGCGGGCCGGGCGGCCGGACCGGGTGTGAAGGCCTCTAGGCCGCGTGGGCCAGGGGTCTCTCGAGCCGCCCCATCCCCCGCCCGTTCTCGGGTGACCTTTGCCAACGGCCCGAGTGCGATGGGGAGGCGGCTATCGATCGAGGGGGCCGAGCTACAAAGAAGCGCGCGCTGGGTCGGGGGCTGAGCGCGGGCTCGGCTTGGGTCTACGCCGCGCACCAGCCGCGCTCTCGAGACCCCCTGGGTGTGCAGCGGTCCCTGTCCCGCGGGAGAAGGGGTGTGGCGCCCCAAGCTAACAACAGCGGCGCGTCCGGGGACACAGCAGACCCCCGCTCCTCCCAGAACGCGCGCACACTTAAACACAATAAGCTACCCTGGAGGGCTGCTTGGGACACGACCCAGCCGCTCGCTGAAAGGGGTCGGAGACCTCCTTGCCATTCTGGAGGGGTAGGGGTGACGGCTCTGGGGAGAAGACGGCACAGTTCCCTGTGGCGACGGTACAGTCAGGGGAGGAACTCCGACCCCGCTCTGCCCTCCTGAGGTGACCCGAGCTGGCGAGTCACAGGCCGCCGGGGTAGCCGGTGCGCGGCGCGCTCCTACCTGCGAGGCGCAGCGCCGACATGCGCTGGAACTCCGGCTCCTGCAGCCACTTCCACATCCTGCGGAAGGTCTCGCGGCCAGACTTGAGCTTGCTCCAGGGCTTGGGGTTGCGTAGCAGGTCGGAGAGCGTGCCCTGTGATCTGCACAGGATGCGCTGCGCGAAGATGGCCTGCGGGATGCTGTAGCGCTTCAGCTCCGCCGTGATGCGCT